TGGTGCATATTGGTGCATTGTGCAGTGAACTAATTTATGTCAGATTGCACCAGTGCATTCTGGTGCTCTAGTTGCTAGGGCGTAAACACCAAGCCTGCTAAATGGACCAGAATGCATACCACCAGCAGACTTGCGTTGCCTGCTAAATGCAACAACTTTTTACCTCTGGTGCATTAAGCAGGGTTAGGGTTAATAAAGGTGAAATAAAAAGAGTGTTTAATTATAACTTTTTATAAAATGCCCTTTTCAATCTTAATAATGTGTCATATTTGTGATTTATATTAATACATGTGCATGTACATTGGTGTTGATGTTACTTGAGAATCATAAAAGGACTCAGCCTTGGACACAAAGACTTGGACTTGGACTCAGAATACAAGGACTCGGACGAGACTCGGACTCGAATGACTCGGACTTGGACTCAGATGCCAAGGGCTTGATTACAGCATTGGTAACTGCAGTTGACTCTCATCAGTGCAAACTCAATTAAGCCAAAATTCTGGATACAATGAGCAAAAAGCATTATTCCCAATTACGGTAACTGTACATCTGTCTACGTTAATACGGAAACAATCACTTTGACAAAGATGAACACAGACAACAAGAAAGGACAGTTATTATCACTTCATTGACCTTGTAAACTCGGAATATGAAGTTAGTATTGAAGTACTAAAAAACTGCCAGAAAAAATCGTGAAGCACAGATGCCGAGATATTGCTGTCAGTGCTCCAGAGTCATCCTCATCCCCTTTCAGACATTTCCGGTCTGGACAGTTTCAGGAATATTTTGGTTTCGCTTACCAACGCTCTCCATCCTGTCTCATTTTTGTTTGAATCGGGCTACAATTCCCTTTCCCAGCCCTGGTTAGAAATCACCACTATGTGCATGTCCAACAAAGGTTATAGGTACCCTTCTGCGCAATGAAACTTGCAGAGAGTCTGCCTTGTGCTTCAGTGAAATAAATGATTCATTACTGATCCCTGGGGCACCATTCCATGGTCAGTACTGTAAGTCGCGCCCCTCTGCCCCTGCCCTCTCTTGCAACAATACAAAGGATGGCAGCTCATTTCAGATTCGCAGTAGAAAAAACAGAGAGAAGGCAACCACTGCAATGTCGCTGGGTAGGCTTCAGCAACGAAGCAGTCAGAGGTCGAACACTGCACAAATGTTCGACAGCTTGAGCTCTTTGAACAACACAACTCAGAGAATGCATGTTTACCCTGCCCTTTTCAGAAGCGAGTCTGTGGACTGAACCTGTTTTTGCCAATCACAGTTAAAACGCTTCAACTGGAACGATTTCGCTTCGGTTGTTTTCGCATCCAACAAAAAACACTGCTGCTGTACATGTACTTTGAGCTGGATGTCCCATGAAAATTGAAGTAGAAAGAGTGTACTGGTAGTAACATGGGCCCAATGACCACAGGGGGACCTTCTTGACATCTGCTTCTCTACCACCACCTCCCCCCGCCCAAATCCCACCAACCAAACCCTAACTCACAAGACACATCTCATACTAGTACGGGAGCCTTATGATATGTCTTTCAAATCACTGAATTTAACCCTAAGTCACTGGCGCATCCGTCAGGAGAACTTTACTGCTACCATTCCCTCAACTCCTTGGAACCAAATACTCTGTACCAAACCCAACTCCCTGGACACACCCAGCAAATGATCCCGCGATGCCTTTTTCCTCTACCCTCCCCTCATACCCAAACTCAACTCACCAGACACACCCCACAAGGAACCCTCATGATATGATGATGCCACTCCCCCGATCACCAACTACACCTCACTCTTTCTTACACAGCCCACGAGGGGAAACTCACCGATGCCTGTTTCTCTCCCTCCCCCAATCACCAACCCCAGCTAACTCACCGGACACACCCCACATGGGACCCTCATGATGCCAGCGGGCTCAGTCAGTGGCTGGGTGGCTCGGTATAGTTTGACCTGGCCTGGTGTGCCAGACGATGTTGCCCCTGCCCTTAACTGAACCGTCATCTCAACTTTGCCATCATAGATGAGTGTGTTTAAGATGGTTTCTATGTCTTCAACAGCCAGTTCAACCTGCATTAAATAGCACAATAAATGAAACTAAGAATCCTTAAACATCTTTATTACTATCTACCCGTATGCATAAAACATCAATTTCATATGACATGTGGCTAAAGGTTGTAAACTATTCAATTTCATATGGCATGTGGCTAAAGGTTGTAAACTATAAATGTGGCGAAAAACTGTGCATCACAAATGTAGTGAAAAGTTGTACACTAAAAAGTTAGTAAAAGATTGTACACTACAAATGCAGCAGTAAAAGTTTCCAGTTTTCCCACGGCAAAGTGTCCATAGAGGTTAAGTTTCATAGTTTTAAAGTTTGGTGTTTCTAATTCTAAGTCAGATTCTGAAAGAGGGTGTTACTTGAAAGGGGAAAATCATACTTAAAGACGTGTTCCCTTGCAGTTGCAATATTAGGAAGTAATATTGATTGGAAAACTAAAATTTCATCATGGAGCACACGGTAAGATTTCATGTGGCAAAAATTATCCCTCCTTTGGTTTAACAGCACAAATATGCACGAGTGCCCACAGTCACTCTTTTGCATGTGTTTTCTATGTGGCACACAAACATGCACAGGATCAGTGTGTACACATTTGGTTTCCAGCACAAAATGACCCAGGGTCTTTTGTGCAGTCCTCTTCACTGCATTTGGTTTACTGCACAATTATGCACATGAAACAGTGAAGCACAGTTGTTGGGCAGCACAAAAGTGCAATCTGATATTCCTGTGAGGGACAGTTGGTGCAGTGCACAACACGACACAGCTGTGCTTCATTGAGGTGTTTACCAAGTGACCCAAAGAGTGACTTCAGCATAGGAGGGTTAATACACTACAAAAACTTATAAGTACATACAGCTTTGGGTTCTTTTCTTTAAATTGAAAGAGAATTCATGAATTTAAAATTTCCCAAACCCCAGAAACAGAGGCTATCGGTAAGGTCCAGTATAAGATGTTTTGACTATACGTTTTCTGGTGTAAAGTCCTTTTCTTACAGTATTCCTGCCAGGCACACTTTCAGGCATTTGCTTGACTACATGTATGCTTGTTATGCCCACATACTTTTTATTTGGCTTCAATGAAACTAGCTCAAGAGTGAACTGCCATGCAGACTAAGTCTAGGCGGCACATTTCAAGTGAACGTTTTTGTGGGAGTATAAACTCAAATTTTGGAGAACGACTCATCACTTTGTGTCAAGCACCACCAGCTGGAGGTCTCGCGGAACCCCCGAAGCCCCCTGAATTTGCTGTCCAGTCTGGGGGAAAGCCAGCAGAAGTGTGTGTTGGCTGCTGATGTCTGTGCTTGGGAATGCCTGTGCGACTATGGGTTTGCTGAGCAGGAATAACTGCTAAGTCACAAGCCCCAAAAAGGCAGCTTTACTGTGAGTTTGATTCATTGAACTTGAAGTTATCGTGGAAAATGTGTGTGAAGTTTGGCAGTCTGTGGCTCACGTTGCCTCTCTCACATTGTCCAGATCATGGTGAACCTTGTGACACCAACATTCTTAAAAATGTCACATCCAAATTTAGAATTTCTTTTTTTAGTGTCTTCCATTTTGCGTGCATATGAGAAACGAGTGTAATCTAGTACACATGTACATGCCAGAGGCATATCCAGGTCTTGGACCCTGAGAAGGTAGAATAGATTTTTTTTTCCAAGAAACAACTGTCCAATTCTTTCATCAGTAAAAGGATCCTCAATGCTCCCACCGAAAAAAGGAAAGGTGGTAGTATCATTTCTACAGTGCTTGTGCTCTCAATTCCTTTAAATAAGATGTAAAAGCTCATTTAAACGGATAGGGTTTGGGTTACATATTACTCACATCAGTGTGAACGATTTAATGTATGTACATCTTCTTTGACAGTTTCAGAGACTTACAGAGATTTGCTCTAGTGGTAAATGCAGACTAAGATCTTTTTTTAGGATTAACAACAAACTAGCTCCTACATGTATTGAGAAACTCTCCAAATGAAGGTTAACCAACATGAATGATTTCATCCTCTGCCTAACACACAGCAGTCTGAGAGAGTATATAAATCAGACATGTGCCTAGCACTAAACTCTCCCCGAAACATTTGTATCCAATTTAACAAACTAGAGACTCATTCAGAACCCACAACATGTTGCCGACCCTTGACTCCATTGCGTACATCACTCTGTATTCTTTTTTTACTGTTTAGTTCATTTTTCAAAGCTGGTTACCTTGATAAGAAGCTGGTCAGCTTGATAAGAAGTGGCTTGCTCATGTCTTTGTGCCCCTAGCATTCACTGTCTAAATCAAACAATGCTTTAATAACCACTCGACCAAGGATTGGACAGTGCTGTAGTTTTGCATATACACAAGCACAATATTAAATTTCATTTTGTCACTTGTGAATTTAAACAAACGAGTTGTGCATAAGTACACACACACAAATTAACTGAACATCACTGCACTCTAAAACTCAGGCTTTCAAATTTCAGGCCCCCTCCCTCAAATTTGCACCCATCTTTCCCCTCCAATTTTTTTCTAAAGTAATGGGAAACGCAACTATTTTCTCGTTTGGCCTTCTAACAAAGTGCAGAATTCTGCCCCTGCCGCAGCAGCATACACAAACAACAAAAAATGCTAATGCTGCAAGTCTTTCCAATTATGCCCCCGGAAAATTGACGGCCCTTTACAATTTGACATGATCAAGGACTGCATTCTGGCACTGAAAATTCAGAGCAATTCATGTGGTGTATTGCTTGGTTCTCAGTTCTTCAGTGATGTCCTTTTTCTACCAAAATATGGAATCTTTGGACAGTATAACTTCAATATTGATCCCAAGGTCATCAATTCAAGGTTAAGGGTCTAATTAAAACTTACTGTGTATGCTGGACAATGAGGCCAACAATTATCTTTCCAAGATTTTCCAGCTTTACTCTGTAGAAGCAATGATGTACGATATTTTTTCTATTTCTGTGACAATTTGGTAACACCGACTAAATATTCAAGCAAATCAAAGGTTGAATATTGGAATATTCAATTATTTGAACTGACTAAGTCTTACTTAGCAAAAAGAATGAAAGCTGGTTTACTTTCAATGTCAAATTTCTTCACTGAAGCTACATTTTAATTCTCCACGGAGTAAGGTCACACTAACAAGTGAGACTACATGTGCATACCAGTACATGTACATGTACATGGTTTTTTCCCCCCACAATTGATGAAGGATAAACTCCATCTTTTGTAACCATAGGAACATATTTCATCTCCAAGGCAAATGGAATAACACAATCAGAAAATCAATAAGATAGCCAGGAGACAACTTAGACTAAGATACACAGTCTGTGAGATTGTGGGAGGGGTAGAGGAATCTATCAGAACGGATTTCTCACGAAGGCTAGTAGGCCCTTTTTATTTTTATTCATTATTTAACCTGGGTGGCCAGTTTGCAATGAACTGTTGTCCTGTCTGGGTCCCCTAGGAGATTAGCAGAGGGAGGCAGGATTTGTAGATTTCTTTTAATGATTTAAAGAATTGGATTTTGAAGTTTTTAAACTTGGAGGTCATTTGGCCCAATTATATAGAGTTCTATTTCAAATTACACAAATTTAGCTGTATTTGCAGTTTAAATTATGTATTGCTTTGACATGTATTACAAAGTCAAACAAATAGTAACTTAAATTAAGACATTTAAATCAAGTACCAGTAGTTTGATTAAAATTACAATGTACATGAAGGCAACTACTGGAATAGCCTGAACACTTGTACCAGAGCTTATGAGACCAAAGCAAGGCATGGATCGAAGGCTTCTTGAGTGGTAGAACCCAGCATGAATTGCAGTCAGTGGTACACATGTCCCTTGCTCGCACCTGCCGATGTCATATCCGATGGAGTTAGTGCTTGGTCCAGCCCCATTCCTTCTTTCCAGTCAACAATGAGGCTCTCTGCTGATGACAGTCTCAGATACATACTGTGCAAGTCTATCAAAAGTCCTGGATATCTGAAGGGCCTCCAAGCTGATCTCCAGGCTGTCCTTGACTAGGCTCAGAGTTGGAAACATGAATAGTGCAACATCACCGAGTGTAGCCACTTGCGCATCACCACAACGGAAAAGACGCTGGCGCATACCTTGGCCATCTCAGGACAGGCCATCCACACGGGAAGAAGTTTACACGTGACTAGATGTACCTTGGAGATGTCATTTACTGATGACCTTTACTGGAGTAACTGTGTAGAGGCCGTCAGAGCCAAGGCATCAAGATCCCTTGACTGATCAGGCACACCTTGGGCAAATCCAGCAGAGAGGTCACAGAAACAGTATCGCTGCCACTTGAATTTCTCTCAAGTGCTTGGAATCCCAGCACAAACCGTAACATCAGGATTAATGAGAGTCATCCAGCACCAGTCAGCCTGATTTTGTCATGCAGCACTCCTGAAGTGAGTTTAGTGTGTCCGATATGCTGAAGCCACTGGGATCAGAACACTCTGCACGAGACACCTCTCCCCTAGCAGGTTGAGCTTCTTCATAGCATCCAACAAAGCCAAGGATACCCCTCAAAACATCCTCCAAACACAGGTCAAGCTGACACTACCCGACCCATCAACATTGCCTCACTTGAAGGCAACTGCACACCAGAGTCAACCTGCTAACAGTAACTCTACGGATCTTCCTCAAGAGCTGCTCAGATCTGGAACAGGCTACCAGTGACGATAACAGCAGCCAGTCGGAAAGGGTTTCAGAGAGAGGCATGTACTGCCGGCTATCAGAGGGATGGAGCCACCTTAGGACTAAGTAACACCATGTCCATCCACCCCAGCAGAAACCCCAACCACCAGGCACACAAACACGCACACAGAGCATAATTGAAACCCACCCTCTCCAGGACAGCAGCAATGCTTTTGAATAACATGATGCAAGACACAATTTCCACCTGTAACTTTTAGCCCCACATACTGGTGCACAGAAGGGTGCATGTACTGTCCAAACCCACATGAAGTAACATGTAGATGTAATGCCACGGTGTAGACGTTTTGCCACGGTG